AAGGAAGGTTGGGCAATCTACTTCCGTAGTGATACTGCCTCGGAAACCCAAGGAGGGGTCTCTATGAGTTGGGTCCAACTCGATGGCACATAACAACAATACATCTTATTGTTCAGGAAACAGTCTTACGTATCTGAAATAACGTACTGTCATACACTGTTTGAACCTGAAGCACCATAGGTAAAGCTGATCAGTTGTCCAGAGTTCTCAGCCTATGGAATCGTGCTCCTTGACTTAAGATTAAAGTTTGAATATCAGAAATCCCATCTCCAATAAATGTTAAGGGGCTATAAAAAATAATCACTTTATTCAACATTGTAATTGTAGAAATGGAGCACACTTTCTTTTAGAAATGAACAACTAAGAAGAAAATGGCACTTGACACTGCTGGTACGTCAGTGCAGGTCTGCAGCAAAAAAATACTGTGATAAGCTTGTCTCTGATAGTACCAAGATAGCCTAGTCTAAGCTTCCTATGTTTTTATTAGATTCTTCTCTCCAATGCTTTTCATCCTTCTCACATTGCATATTCGAGGATTGGTACAGCCTTTAGAACCTCATTAACAGAAGCAAATCCAGCATCCACTGAAATTTTTTCAAAAGGCATTCTAACACATCAGATAGCCTGGTAGTTTCATTCTCATGAATACTCTAGCCACTTAAAAAAAAAAAAAAAAAAAAACCCTCAATAGGATATAGATGAATCCAACGAATAGAAGAAGGAATTTGTTGAGTTTTGGAATGTTTGGTGCATTGGATTGTTCCAGGATTATGAAACCTAAACCTCCCATTGTAATTAGAGTCCTTCCCTAATATATTGTCCATTTATGCTGTAGGCTAAGAAAGCTACTAGCCTCTGATGCCCATGTTCATCAGTCACAGAGCCAACACTTGGGGGTTCCACAATAACATCATAAATTATTCCTCCGGTGATAAGGAAGTAAGACACCGCCACCAGAGTGTATACCGTCATGGCTGATGCCATGTGCACCCAGGGTGGCTTCTTCAGCTTCAGGTTGGGGCATTCGAGCATTAAGAACGGGACTCGGTATAAAGTTTCCATATTGGTGGCTGCAGGGGCAGTTTCTTTCTTTCTTTTTTTTTTTTTTTAAATAGCTTGTTAAATGTTTTCCAAATTCTTCCTGAAGCATTATCTACTATAGATGTACCACCGTAAGGACTCTAGGAGATAGGCACACACTATTAATGGTTTGATGTCGAACTGAAACTGGAGATAATTTTAGATGGTGAGTCAGGGGCAGAATCCAGTTCTCCTCTACCCTGGGCTCTCTGGATGGCATGAAACACTTTATGTGGAGTGAGCAAAAGCAAAGGATCCGAAGAACTTTTCTGATTAGTTTTCAGTCCACTTGTCAGAAAATGCAAGATAAATGCCTTTCCTTTCTGGCAGTATCTGTTTATCATTTTTCACAGTTTTTTAAAAAGTTGGGTTTTGGGGCAAGTGACTGCTTGTGAAATTAAATGATCATATTCAAGAAGTCCTCCATAAATGAGAAGTGACTTTCATCTGCATTATATTTAATTGAAAGCATTTCTCAGAAGAAATAGAATAATACAAAGTGTCACCTAAAGGTATATTACCAACCCCATGATGAGGGAGTGAAATGAAAGGTTTCTAATAAAAATGAAAGCACCATTACTCTCAACCCTAACTAGGCTTTAATATTTTGCCTTTAGCACAAAGCATTTTAATGTTCACTATAATTTCTCTTGATGGAAAAATGGTTTTCCTCAAATCAGGGACAACGAACATGATATTAAACATCAGAATTTTTATTAGTGAAATGCCTTTAGGGACTTGGATTTTTCCAATTTAGACCAGTATTAGTTTTTAGGTCAGTGAAAAAGAGGAAGACCCTCAATGAGATGGACTGACACAAAGGCTGCAACAATGGGCTTGCACATAGCAACGACTCTGAGGATGGAGCAGGGCTAGGCAATGCTTTGTTCTGTTGTACAGAGGGTCACTATGAGTTAGAACTGACTCAATGGCACCTTACAACAACAACAACACAACAAGTACACCTAAGTAACAGACTTTAAAAGAACTTAGAATTTTAAAATTTGAAGCCCATTTCTTTTATACAACATGATGCCTTCAAATACCTTTAGAGTGAACTCCTATTTTATTAGGCAAGTATACCAAGAACCAAACCAAACTCACTGCTGTCAAACAGATTCAACTCATAGAGACCCCTCCTTGGGTTTCCAAGGAGGTATCTCTACAGAAGTAGATTGCACAATCTTCCTTCCAAGGAGTGGCTGGTGGGTTCGAATTGCCAGCCTTCTGGTTAGCAGTCATACACCTTGGGCACTATGCCACCAGGGCTAGAGCCCTTGACTAGCTTGTAGAGACATTCTCTGGAGGGAAATTTTGCTTTGCAATCATCTGAGTCATATAGGTTTGAGTAGGGGTAGGGAATAGGGAGAATGATCCCTCTTTACTCTAAAGAACAACAGAATATCTTTTCATTCAGTACAAATTCAAGCCACTTGCTTAATACCATTAATTGAACTACACCAGGGAGATACACTCCTTAGAACAATCAACCACAGTAGATCAGAAGGGCAGCATTTGCACAGGGAGGCAGGAATGCATAAGCAAAAAGGACACAGGGAAAGAGTAACCACAGGTAAGAAGTGGGAGGTGGGCTGCTACACTGTGGGGAATGTAACCAGTGTCACAAAACAATATGTGTATTAACTGTTGAATGTAAAATGAATCTGCTTTGTAAATTTTCACTCTAATCACAATAAAATGTTTTTTAAAAAAAGTCAAAGGAAATTTAGTTCTATAATTTCCAAAGACACTATGAATGGGCCAAGTGGCCTCCAAAACACCATTAAAAAAAAATAAACAAACCACTGAGTCACTTGTGACTCATGGCAACCCCACGGAGCATTAGAGTAGAACCACACTCCACAGTGTAGTCAATGGCTGATTTTTTGGAAGCATATTGCCAGACCTTTCTTCCAAGGCATTTTTGGGTGGACTTGAACCTCCAACCTTTCAGTTACCAGCTGAGCACTTAACCATTTGCACGACCAAGGGTCCTCCCAAAATACCATAAACATTCACTTTTGGATTTGGTAAATTCAATCAAAACTCTCAGCTTCTACAACTGTCTGTTCTCTTGAGTCGAAATGAGTAGAACATTTGATCTAAATCTGAACATCACGGAATGATGTTTAATGGTCTTAGAAAAGAATCTATGTATGCCGGGATCTGCAAATAGCTTAACTTGGAGAATTCAGGGCTCAGTTTAGCAGGAAGCAACATCCTCTAGGTGAACAAAAGAAAGATGAGTTTCTTAGATGTTGCTGTAAATGAGGTTAGCAAGAAAATGAAAGAAGCTCACAAATGTATCTAGGTGTGAATAACTCTCTCAAGTACTGGCTATAGAATGGCCATGCTGAATAAGGATACTCAATCATCCACCACCTCATTTCAGTTTCCAGAAAAATTCAATCAAATACTTTCATTTTTCTTAAATGAATTCTTCAATACCACAATCCTCAATGAAACAAGGGGAAAGAAAAATATAACCACAACCTACAAACTGGGAGAAAGTGTTCTTCCTGCTAATATCCTAACATAGTATCTCAACACTGAACTCTACCCTCAATTCTCATGGAAAACTTTCTTTGAATGTTTCTATTTTGACATATTTTGCATGTATTAAGAATTAGAACATGGATCACAAAACTGCAATGCCTATAGGGCTCAGGAAGGTGACACAAACGGATGAAGAAGGTGTAGTAGACACTGAGGTGACTTGCCAAGTTCAAATTTTGTCTTAAAGGAACTGTTAGCACTCAGCTCCTGCTGATTATATTCTTGCAGAAATGACATTTCAGAATTGCCAAGATCCTCAAATTTTTAACATATAAATTAAATATTAAATGAAAATGTATTATTTTTAAATATGAGTAGAAAATGACAATTTAAAATTAAAATTGAAAAAAAAAATTGTTGCTGGCAAAACAAATTCAAAACCAGTGTGTCCAATTTTATGTGCCAACTTGTGACCTCCATATTGGAAGAAGAAAAAAATGAGAAATGGTTCATCAAAGGGAAATCAGGTTTCCTAAAGTCGTTAGTGAATTCTTAGGTCTCCTTAATTATAAGAGCTTTTTTTCTAACAGCATTACCACACCTGAAGTTTTTGACTTAAAATGTCATGGCTGTTTAAGCTTCAAAACATTCTGTCAGATAGAGAAGAGATCTCCAGAGAAATAAATTTTATGTGTCAGAGAAAGGCAATTGTGGGTCAAAAGCTTAAGATTCTATTCTCTCTCAAAGGCTCATGGGGAAGATTATAAAAATACCCAGCTTTACAGAGCTGCTTCTAAACCAACGTAAGGGCTGGAGGAAGAAAAAAAATTGCAAGTGTCAAGAGATGCAAAGCAGAGGCTGTATATCACTGATGAAAATGCAGCAAAACAGAAAGAAACCAAGTCCTTCTAATCGAGCCAACAGTATTTACAGCCTCTGGGTAGTGCCAGAATATTTCAGGAAATGCCAATGTCTTTCTTCATAAAGTAAGCTCAAACTTCATATTTAAACACAGCAGGTATCACTGAGAAGAATAAAGCAAATCCACACTTCCTCACTCTCCTTTTCAAAGAATCATCACATTAAGATTTATGGCCAAAGCAGAGCTCCCCCTCCACCTCTCCCAAATATAAAGCTTTGCTGTTTAATGTTTCAAAGTAAAAGGTTCTGAGAACTTTCTAGGCAATCCTCTGTTAACAGTTAAGAATGGCAACACAGAATGAATTAGCAATGGTCCACTCAACACTCAGTTTCATTTCTCTTCCCCATTTCCCACTGGGGCTCCTGACATCTTCAACCCATTCAGCCTCAACCACTTTCTGAATCAGCAAAGTCAACTCTTCCTTCTACAGTGGAATGAGGAAGGACTGGCAAGATAGAGGTAAAAGCCAAAACCACAGTCACCCTCACATCCAGAATGGTACCTGTTCAGGCTTCAGACCCGGCGGGACCCAGGCATACTCTTCCAAGGCGCAGCCTGAGTCGTCATCCGAGGTCGAATTCCTCTGGAAGTCAAACATGAGTTTACTGACAGTCTTCTCCATCTCCAGCGGCATCACTGTCACCATGTGCTCCTCCTGTGGACACTTGCAGTGCAGGCAGATCTTCCTGCAAGCAGCAAAGGTGATAGGTGAGAAGGACAGGAAAAGAAACCATTTTCTCAAGAGGTCTGCCAGTTACCAGCCCTTGGATCCTAAACCATAAACACATTCCTTGGCAACAGGCTTCTGGCAAAGCCCCACAGCATCCAAAGCATGTTCCACAGCACGCCTGTCTTTGTAGAAGGTGTGGCACCACTCATGTGGAAACATCTTAAAAGGCCAGAGGCTGCCAGCTAAGATTGCTAAGGAGATTTCAACATGGACTGCAACCTTTTCTTCTAAATCAATATTACAAGAGCAATGCCAGTATGTAGGTTTTTCATTTTACTTAGGAGTTCTGGTAGCATAGTACCTAAGGCACTTGACTGCTAACCAGAAGGCTGGTGGTTCAAACCCCCCCGGCCACTCCTCGGAAGGAAGGTTAGGCAATCCTACTTCCGTAGTGATACTGCCTCGGAAACCCAAGGAGGGGTCGCTATGAGTCAGGGCCGACTTGACGGCATTTAACAACAACAACAAGTAGAACACCGAGTATAGACCATGACCACAACTTCATGGACTGTAATAGCAACTTTATATGTGTCATACATATGTATAGAGTCCCTGGGTAGCACAAATGCGTAAGCCCTGTGCTATTACCTGAAAGGTTGGTGGTTTGACTCTACCCTGAGGCACCTCAGAAGAAAGTCCTGACAGTCTACTTCTGAAAGATCAGTCATTGAAAATCCTATGGGCTGAAATTCTACTCTGAAACACATGGGGTCACTATGAGTTAGAACTGACTCCACTTGACAGACACTTTTTAAAAAATACATACGTATATGCTGACCAAATTCCCAAAAGGTTGAACAAATACTGACATCACATGGTCTTTAAAAAAGGTTCTTAGACTTTGGAAAATGGAAGAAGTAGTTTTAAAAAGAATTGTGAGATTTTTCTTTAAAGAGAAAAGCAAAAATAAAACATTTTGCCACTAAACAAATCTACGGTTTCACAGAAGAGGCATTTTCACCTCCACTAAAAGTCTCTGCAGATCTGAAATTTTAACTAGACACTCAAGTCTTCCCTATGTTGGTAGTTTATATACATACATACAAGAACATCATATATGTGAGCTATCTAAAAAGGTAGCAGCCAAAGATTAAAATCTCTTCTAACTGAACATTTTTCTTTTAAGGTCACCATATGTTCCCTTTTCCACAACTACAAAAAGATGAAGAAATTAAAAAAAAAAAAAAAAGGTTGATGTCAGCAACACAAAAGCATTCTGGTCTCTACCAGTAAAATAAAAAAAGCAAGAAAAAAATGGCTGAAGAAAAACTAAGGTCATAAGCTATTCTAGGTATACACTGATCTTTATGTTTAGCTTCAGGGAAGCCTTATAAAGGAAACAGAAGAGTATAGAATCCTAATTCCCACTTTTACCTGATTTTTTAAAAACAGTTTTACTAAGATATAATTCATACACTATAAAATTCACTATTTTAATGTGCACAATTCAGTGGCTTTTAGCACATTCACAGATTTGTGCAACCATCACCATTGTGGTGGTTAATATGAATGTCAACTTGGCTGGGCCTGGTTGAGTGCCGGGGCAGCTCAATGTTGTTATTATTATTCTCCATGGTGAGATTAGTAATTAACTCCACGGTGGAATATACTGGAGCAGCTGAGATGTCATCTGCTTCCTGTACATAAGGAGAAGCCTTGGGGAATGGTCTCTAGCTTATGGCACGCTTGAACCCTGCATGTAGCCATGTCATTGTTCAGCAGCCTGCCATGCTCTGTCGACCCTGGAACTTTCTATGGACTTAAATTAATGTCCTGCTGTGTGGTTTGGTAACATTGGGACTGTGCATTTTTACTTGTCAACCTTGGGTTTGTCAGTCTTAGCAGCTAGCAGCTGTCTGAGTAAAGAAAAGCCTCTAGCTCCAGTGGGCCGGAAGCAGGAGGCAGAGCTGAAGCCCAGTGTTGAGGGCTTTCACCGAGCCCCTAGAGGCTGGCACTTTGAACTTAGACTTAAAGCCTCCAAATTGTAAGAATAAACTCCTTTTTTGTTCAAGCCATCCCACTTGTGGTATATTCTTGTCAGAGGAGTACTAGGTAAATAGAACCACCATTATCTAATGTTACAACATTTCCATCACTTCAAAAAGGAACTCAAGCCTAGTAACAATACCTCCTTCCCCTCACAGCCCTTGGTAACCACTCCACAAATCTACTTTCTGTCTCTATGGGTTTGCCTACTCTGAACATTTCATATAAATGGAATCATACATTATGAGATCTTTTGTAACTGGCTTCTTTCACACAGAATATTGTTTTCAAGGCTCGTCCATGTTGTAGTTTCTATCAATACATCATTCTTTTTTATCATGGAATAATATTCCATCATATGCATATATCACGTTTTGATTTTTCATCAGCTGATAGGCACCTGGGCTATCTGTCTTTTTTGCCTATTATCAATAGTGTTGCAATGAACATCCTTGTACAAGCTTTTGTGTGAATATGTGTTCTAATTTTTCTTGGATATATACCTAGGAATGGAACTGCTGGATCACATGGCAATGCTATGATGAACATTTTGAAGAAATGCAAATGGATTTCCAAATGATTGATATTTTCCCCATCAATGATGAGTGTTCCATTTTCTCCATATCCTTGCCACACTTGTTATTTTCTTTTTATAACTGCTATCCTAGTAGTTGTAAAGTAGTATCTCACTGTGATTTTGATCTGCATTTCCCTAATGTCTATGTGCTTATATACCTTCTTTGGAGAAATGTCTATTCAAATCCTTCAGTCCATTTTAAAATTGGTATGGTGGTTATGTTTCTGTGTCAACTTCGCTGGGCCTGGTTGAGTGGCTGGGCAGCTGGTGGTAGTATTCCCCATGATAAGACTGGTAATCAACTCCATGGTGGAATCTACTGTGAGCAGCTGAGTAGCTGCCTTTGGATATGTGGTCTGCTTCCTGTATATAAAGAGATGCTTTGAGAATGGTCTCTAGCCTTTGACACGCTTGGACCCTGCATGTAGCTGTGTCGTTGCTCAGCAGCCTGCTATGCTCTGCTGTCCTTGGGACTTAGAATGGACTTAAGTTAATGGCCTGCCGTATGGATTGGTAACATCGGGACTATGCCTTTTTACTTGTTGTGATAGTTGGAGCTGTGTGTCAACTTGGCTGGACCCCAGTTCTGTGTGGTTGTTCCCATGATGGGATCAGATGACTGTGTTCCCAGTGGCCAATCTGCCCAAGGGGAGTTTCCCTAGAGGTGTGGCCTGCTTCCAAGATATTCAGGGACATCCTGGGAAGAGAGACATTCTTTGAGGGATTGGAACCCTGGTGTGCTGACTACAACCTTCCGTGAGTGAGCAGCCCACCGCTCGGCCTGGAGAGCTTGGATTTGTCTTTTGTTGGAGTCAACAACCAGTGTACTGCCTGCCAGCCTTGAATTGCTCGACCCCCTGCACTTGCAGAAGCTAAGGCTGCCACCAGCCCGATGTTTCCTCCAGGGACTTTGGACTTGCTGGCTTCTATACGTTTGTGAGCCATTTTCCTAAGATAAATTTCTCCTTCTTTCTCTATATGAGCTTTACTGGTTTGTTACTCTAGAGAACCCAATCTAACACACTTGTCAACCTTGGGGCTTCTCAGCCTCAGCAGCCAACAGCTGTCTGAGTGAAGAAATGCCTCTAGCTCCAGTGGGCTGGGAGCAGGAGGCAGAGCTGGACCCCAAGGTTGAGGGGCTTTCACCCAGCCCTTAGAGTCTGGCACTTTGAACTTAGACTTAAAGCCTCCAAATTGTAAGAATAAACTCCTGTTTGTTAAGGCCATCCCATTTGCGGTATTTTCTTGTCAGAGTGGCACTAGGTAACCAGAACAACTGGGTTGTCTTTTTATTGTTGCATTGTAAGAGTTTGTTTTAAAACCCATACTCCAGATATAAGTCATTTATCAGATACATGGTTTGCAAAAATTTCTCTCACTTTGTAGACTGTGTCTTCTTGATCTTGTTATTTGAAGTACAAAAGTTCTTAATTTTGATGAACACCATTTTTTTCTTTCTGTTGTTGTTGGTGCTTTTGGTGTCATATCTAAGAAACCATTGAAGTAATAAATAAAGATTTATTCCCAAGTTTTTATCTAAGAATGTTATAGCTTTGGCTCTTACATTAAAGTCTATGACCTATTTCAAGTTCATTTCTTACATATTCTATGAAGTAGGGGTCCAATTTCATTCTTTTGCATGTGTTGTTCCAGCTCTCCCAGAAGCACTTGTTGAAAAGACTCTTCTCTCCTTATTGAATTGTCTTGGCATAACTGTGGAAAGGGAGCTCTGGTAGCATAGTGGCTAAGACACTTGCCTGCTAACCGGACTGCTGGCGGTTCAAACCCACCAGCCACTCCTCGGAAGGAAGGTTGGG